GAATATATAACAAATTAAGAGAACTCTAGGCTAGAATACAATGGTAAATATGTAACAACAGATAATAAAACTAATATTGATAATGATCAATTAAAAACAAAATGATTCCAAGTCAGTGATAGTTATTGGTACTTTTATGGGTATACACACACACACACATAACATACACACAAACACATAGTCACACATTCAGTCACACATGCCTGAAATAAATAATAGCAATTTTTATTATGTTGTTTATGTCTTTTGCTTATGTGATTTAAGCTAGTTAGAAACTTGAAAGTTCCAGGAAGCATCACCATAAAAATAATAAATATAAGCATTTCTCTCTTCCCATTGCAGTAGAAGATATAGTGCAACAATTATGTATTTGGACACACACACACACATATATTTTTTTCACAAGTTCCTCATAGCTCTATGTGGGCTACTATGGAAGGCACTCAAGAGACCTCTGAACCTGCATTCTTGTTTAATTTTTGTGGTTGAAGGATCTAATTTCTAACTTAAAATTTTTCAGTACAGTGATTGGTCCTTACCACTCACTGTCCTTACCACTTCCTGTTTTTCTCAGGAACATAGAAAACATTTAAAAATTTAAAAACAGTAGTTACATATAAAGTACAAAATCATTTTAAGTAGATTTACAGATTAACTGTTTCCCTATTCTCCTCCTCCTTCTCCTCCTTCCTCTTTTCTTCTTCTCTCCCCCTCCTCCTCCCCTCTCATTCTCCTCTTCTTCTTCTTCTTCTTCCTTCTTCTTCTTCTTCTTCTTCTTCTTCTTCTTCTTCTTCTTCTTCTTCTTCTTCTTCTTCTTCTTCTTCTTCTTCTTCTTCTTCTTCTTCTTCTCCTCCTCCTCCTCCTCCTCCTCCTCCTCCTTCTCCTCCTCCCCCTCCCCCTCCTCTTCCTCCTCTTCTTCTTCTTCTTCTTCTTCTTCTTCTTCTTCTTCTTCTTCTTCTTCTTCTTCTTCTTCTTCTTCTTCTTTTCTTCTTCCTTTTCCCAAGCTTTCCTTGAAAAGATCTCTATTGATTGATTATCCTGACACCTGCTGGTGAGGGCACAGTTGATTCTAGTCTTTCAGTCTTTCCCTCGAAATACTCCCTGAACCAAAGACTTTTTAAAGGCATTATTGGTCACAATTCAGTGGCAATTTATTTAGCTTAAGTATTTATAATACTTTATTTGTAGAATTCCCACATAGAAAAGTATGAGAAACAATTTAATAATTATCTCAATAGGCAGTCACTTGGCTGATTCCACAAATGCATGTTTGTTTGCACTAACTAAAAGCTGTAATTATTTTTGTGGACTGTGATAAAGAATACAAACTAGAACAAATATGTTGAGTAACATCCTTACAATGCAAATAACTAAATAATAGCAATTGTTTGACTCAGGTTTTTTATAATAATGTTAATTTTTAAGCTAGTTAGCAAATAAAATGAGTAAATTAATTAGTAATGGTAAAAGTCATCTGACTAATGTATATTTTCAAATTTTGTTACTTTTTACACAGTACATGCTCATTATTGTTTACTTCTGGCTTGAACTGAATTTTAAAACTTGCATGGTTTATGTTTTCTTTTGCAAGGATACAATAAAACTAAATCATTCTCAAAGTTACTGTACCTGCAACTGTGTCTTGTAAAACACAAATATCAGAAAAGTGTGAGAATGACTTTCTTAGGCTTTAGAAAATTCTCCCTTGAGGCTTGATTTTTTAAGTATATATTAACGCTAACGTATATCCATTCCACTATTCAAAAGTCTTCAAAAGAGAAAACTTATTAACAATAAACTATATAATTAAAACCTTTATCTTAACTAATATCAAGGAAATTAAGAGTTTGCAGTATTAATTTAATACAGAAAATCACCAAAAATGTTAGGAAGTATTCAGTACAATAAATATGTTATTTTTACTTTTTTAAAAAATGTTCTTTGCAACTTCAAAACCAAAGGGGGGAAAAAGTAGATAAATTCATTTGCTTGTATCACTTTTATTTTAAAATATTTTACCAAATTATACAACTTTTAAATCAAAATAAATAGTTATTGTAAGGAAATATTTCAGAAAAACTTTTCAGAAGCAGAAACAAAGCTAGTGTATTGTATAGCATACACAAGAATTTACATTAGCACAGGATAAACTTATTTTCACCTAATTATTATTTTCAATTTAGCATTTCAAGATTAATTTCAATATTTCCCTTAGAATCTATAATTGACATTTTTTCAGTGTAAAGTATATGGTCATTTAAATTATGCCATGAAGAATGTATAACAAACTTGTTAGCATAAATGTTGCTGCACTGATCATAGTATGTGATATTCAAAGTGAGATTTTTCAGAGATTAATGTCTTCTCAATTAGAATTAAGTCAAAATGACAATTGATTATAACATGGAAATGCAATTGTCAATGATCTGTAGTATTTAGGGCATGTCTAGACCTTTTTAGACAGTGCCATTTGCTTAAAGACTTCAGGCACAAACTGTAGGCATGGGGCAGATTGCATAAGATGTCACATGCTTTCTGGCACTGTATGCATATTATTGAATTTTTTAGAGCAGCCCATAATAATGAATAATTTAAGAGTTAATAAAATATTCAATCTGACTGATCCATTGGTTTAATTTTAAAATAAAGACAACTAATAAAAGGAGTTACACTTCCTTACCAAATTCCAGGCATTGATATACATAAATTGTAAAATTTAAAATAAACAACACTCAGAGGGAAAATCCCAATCCCTGTATGAATTACATATATTATGTACAAGATTGGGGTGGGAGAGAAACAGTGTAGAGAAAATTCTCCCACTGTGTTAATGTTATCATCCACTTCAATAAGTTTGCCCCAAGTTTAATTGTTTGGAGCTGTGGGCAAGCCTTTGCAGGAAGGAGAAGGTACATAAGTTCAACAACAACAACAAAAATAGCTAAAGCAAGGAGATTTCCCCTCTGGCTGGCTTAAAGGCAGGGGAATCTATTGGAAAATATTTGCCTGAGCATTGTCTAAGGGAATCAAGAAACAAAGGCACACAATATTTCCAGGCTTGGCTTGACCAGGAAAGCAGCAGATAGCCTCATCTTGAGGCTCTGGGCAGCCAGGACTTGCCAGCCTAGCCCCAGGGCTCCCTCACACTCTGGAAGACTAGCATGACCAGGCATGTTAGATGCTCCCTCCCTGGGGTCCTTCACCTCTGAAAGGGGACAGATGGTGGTGAGGGTATCAGTGTGTGTGTGTGTGTGTGTGTGTATGTGTGTGTGTTCCTGGTGGCAGCAGAGTCCATAAAGGAAGGAGAAGAGAGGAAGAGGGGATGCCTGTTCTTCCCTTTCCCTTCCTCTAAAAAAAAAGAAAAAGAAAAAAAAGTCCAGAATAAAATAAAAGAAAGGAAAAATATTGAGGATGAGATCATTAGCATTTCCTTATCTCTGGGGACTCTGCTGAGCAACTCTGAAATCATTACCATTCCTTAACCTTCGGTAGAGTCGCTGCCGCTGCCAGATAACTAGAAAGACACTTTGGCAAACACCGGAGAGCCAAACACCTACACACACACACACACACACACACACACACACACACACACACACACACACACACGCCTACAGGCTGGGAATAAAATAGCCACATTCTGGGGGCTGAAGGGATGTCCAGGTAAGGCGCCAGGGCAGATCTCTCCTGGGAGGGCACTTAGGCAGGACCCTTAGCTTCCTAGGCAAAAGTCACCCAAGAGTCTATCCTCAGTCTACACCACCACCGGTGTGGCACGGATCTATGGTGCAAAATATTCACTCCGTGTCTAATCTCAAGTGGATTCGATTCGAGCTAACGCAGTTGCAATGCAACTACGTTCTCTAGATGCGTTTTACAATCCTATAGTGAGTGCACTCAGCTTTCCACTTGAAGCTTGTCCGCCAAGGCTTCTAAGATCGGGCTTTCTTTTACAAGAAACACCCTCCTTGGAGAATACAGAAAGCACGCAGTTCCCCAGAACCCTTATCCCTCGCTTTTGTCCCTGGGCGACCTCATTCAACCCCACCGGAGACCCAGGTCGGGGACTAGGGTTCCTACCGACAAAGCTCGGCTCTCAGAAAACCTGAAAGTCAGCTCAACAACTCGGCAGCAGCCTCATTCAAGTTCTGCATTTTCTTTTCTTTTCTTTTTTTTAAGACTCTTGTTTATTTCCTTTCTCTTCCCCTTGCAAGACAAGAAACGCTGGGCCAGCCCACCTTGACAACTTTTCTGCTCCCATGTTGGGGGACCAAGTTGGGGGACCAAGTGGCTTGCAGCGCCGGGTTCCCTTGAAGAAGAGTTACATACTCAAGAGTGCCTAGCCGAGCTCCAGACCCCTGGGGTTAGACAGACAGTTTGCTGTAATCGCTGCTACGCATCTGGGATTAAAGCAGGTGACCTAAGAGCAGACTCCCCAGCCCTCCTGGCCCCAACTCCAACCTCCCAGGTGCCAGATTGCGGCCGGGCTTGGCCCCAGCCCTGCACCAGAGCACAGTACCGCGAGACAGACCGCTGACAGGCAGCTCTCCCCGCTTTCCCCGCATCCACTACCCGATTCCTTCGGGCGCGCTCTGCTCTCCGGTTCCCGCGCCCACACCACAGCCCCGCCCGGCGCCCTCAGCCAGCATCTCCAGAGGGTCGTAGGGGAGACCTGGTGGCAGACTGAACCCAGATTTTTTTTTAATTGCTGGGAGCTCTCCTTCTCCACCCATCCCTCTGTCCACCTCCTTCTTAGATCGCATCCATATCCCTGCGCAATCCAGTCCACTCCGCTTGGACTTCGCTGGCACTTTCTTGGGGCACAGAGGGCGCGCCACCTCCTTGGCGCCGCCCTAGGCGCTCTCCACCCAGGCCAGGCTCGGAGCCGCCTCTGGTCCCCTGCGCGGCGGCGGCGTCTCCCGGGGGTCGGTGGCGGGGGGGGGGGAAGTAAAAGGGAGACACCCTGCCCGTCCCGCATCCAGAGATCTGACCCTCCTCACCTTTGCCGAACTGGGGTATACCAAGGCTGAGCCCAAGCAAGAGCCAGGCGACTATGGAGCGCTTCATGGTCCAGTCTCCCAGACGTGACCCTGGCTAGATCAGGAGGTTCGCGGAGGAGGGCAGGGTAGCCGGGGTGGCCCGCAGGGTGGAACGAGACACCGCCCCTGTTGGAGAATTCAAGATGATGTCTTCTTCCCGCAGCTCTTGCTTAAATTGTTGGAGAGGGTGTGAAAGAGTGGCGGCCAAAGAAGAATGTGTCCTCTCCCTCGCTTTGCCTGCGCTCGGCCGTGCGCGCGGAGATGGTGAGCTCCGGAGAGCCACTGACGGGCTCAGCCCTCCGCGGCGGGTGGGTCCTGGCCGAGGCGCGGCGGGCGGGGCGCAGGCTGACGAGGCGGCTCTGGGTCTCCCCAGCGGGCGGGTGGACCCGAGGGCGAACCCGTCAACCGGGGCGCCGGGCTCCTACTGCTCCCGCCCCTGCGGCTGCGGGGCTACTGACTTGGAGAACAATGAAGCGTGAGCTGGTGGGGAGCGAGTCAGCGGCCGGGAGCGCACTGTGTACAAACAGAGGCAGCGTGAGTGTGAGCCTTGGTCTGCGGGCGCGCACACCGCTCCCCAGCATCTGCCCGCCCCCTCCCGTCTTCTCCCCTCCCTTAACTGCTCCCCCTCCACCCTCGTCCTCCCTCCTCCTCTCTTTCCTCTCCCTCTTCTCCCTTCTCTCCTCGTACCCCTCCTTTGAGGTGGCTCCTTCTGCTGGAAGAGAAAGGGGAGACAGCTGCAGCCACACCCCGAGCACCTGCCACTATTTCCAAAGTTCCTACATGGCCAGTACCTGGTCCATAAGTACCTGAGAATCTGGACTGCTTGGGAGTTCCTTTGATGTCTTACAGACTTGGTTTCCAGCCTTGGCTTTATAATTAACCACGTGAAGGATTCCCCTGAACTACTATTCTCAATGTATTCAGGAAAAGAAGTTAAGGGATTGTTTTTAAAGTAGCTCTTGAAGCATCAAGCTGCCTGTAAAACCAAACCATGACCATTTAATTGTCCGGATTTCTCAGGAAAATACGATTCGCAGGAAGTTCTTCTTATAGCCAAGATAGGGCTGGTTGCTTTGCCTTTCTCTCTTGTCTTCCCTTGGCTCTTAGAGCTGGGGAGAGAGTTTTGTGGGTTCATCTGTTCCCAAAGGCAGGGTGGAAGCAAGTAGAAGAGCTGCATCTGGTTAAGCAGGACATTTGTTTCAGAGGAGAATTAAACCAGTTTGGCGATCATACAAGAAAACAGAAGGCAAAGGCAAGGCAGATTCTTGAGTCATCATTCAGTTGTATCAAATTTCTCTGCTACCCACCAAAGCTAAAATAAATGCACTAGTTTTTTGCAGTGAAAATGATTGAACTAAAAACACAGCCTTTGGCTTACAATTGTGCTTTCTCCTCTGTTTTTGGTTAGAATAATTGCTTGCTGGATTCAATTCCTGCAGTTGCAGGTACCAAATGAAACAGCTCTCTCGCTCTCTCACCCCCCCTCTTTTTTCCTAATTCTTATACTTAGGAAAGTGGGGAGAGGAAGAGAAACACAGACATAGGAAAATAGAAGAAAATATTTTACAAGATAAGAAATAGAAAAAAAATAAGAAGAAAAGAATAACAGGACAAGCACTCATGATCCTTGAGCCCTGTGTATTTTAACTTCTACCTTTATTCCGGTTTGTGAAGTTTGAACAAATAGATAATAAAGTAATACCAAACACTGTCAGGGAGAAGTTCAGGTTTTATATCATGGACCATATATAGAGGTATATATATATACACATATATATATATATGTATATATATATAAACATAATTTTAGGAAGAAGACATGCTCATAGTGTTCATATTCCATATTGGGTAGAAGGATGGAAGTACAATTTTAAAATGCCATTTTGCAAAGGGAAAGAGGACGATTACTTTGTTAGCTATCTACTTTGATGCTTAAAGTCATAGATATTAGAGCAAGACAGTATTCAGACCTGTTACAATGCCATTTCAAACAATTAAATTCCAACTTTGACACATTATTACTACTTAATTCTTAAAGTGCTTTCTGCCAGACGGTGGCAGATTCCCTACAAAGGACTTTAACCAGTGAAATGAAGTTCTGTATGTTAATTTCAAGGTATTATTTCCAAAGGAGAATACTAAACCTTGAACATACAGTCTCTATGTAATATTTAAGGGAAAATAGTGGTGTTTAATTTCCCATTTTATTCCCTGTTTTTCCTCTTCTGATAAGGTATTATTAATAATCATGTTAGGAAATGAAATAATGTGGCAATATCATATGTTACTAAACATTTATAGTTTTTATATGGAAATGTTTTTTTCAAAATATTCAGCCTTTTTTTTATTAAAATAAATATTCTAGTTTCATATAACTGGAGCCATGACAGGAAACACCCTTTTTATTATCTGGCATGCAACTTGTAGAAGGTGAGCTTATTTAATGTCACTATTTCCTTAAGTCTTATTTTAGGTCTGTAAAGGATTCAGAGTATTAATCCTATAGAAGTGGGTGCATACTTCCCCTTTTGCTCTACTTATTGATAATGACTGTCTACAGTAAGCCTTTCATTTTGAAGATTCCAGTCACTTTACCCAATTTACATTTATCAGGTTCATTTCACTTTTATGAAACTCAAATGTAGCACCTTTAAAAGTGGAATATGAGAAATGTTAAAGGAACACACAAATTAAATTATAAAAGTAAGAATAAAAAGGCAAAAGCACAAAAGTCTGTTATGAATCTCACATAAAAAGCAAAGGGATGTGTACTAATGGCCTATGTTCTAGTCTATGCTTTTAGAGCTCTTCCAAATACATGCCTAAAGTGTCAAAATGAACCTATACATCAGTAGAAGACAGTATTTCTCAACTTATTTTCTGCAGGTCTTCTTATTCTCAAGATGTACATAGGTTTCTGGGGAAAAATAATGCTGCATGATCAAATAATTTGGGAAAACATCTCATGTTGAGAAGGTTCTGAAGCTTCAACCTGAGTGTTTCATATTAAATGTCCTATTTTTTCTAGAAGTCTTGAATGCAGAAAGTTTACCTGGATTCTGTTATATCCCCATTCCTGAAAAATTCATATACTGAAGCTTAAATACCCAGCTGAAGTTTTTGGAGGCAGTTATGTCATGATGGCAGAACCCTAGTCAATGGGATTGGTGTTCTTGTAAGAAAATAAATCATCTCAGCTATGTGAGGGTGTAGTAAGAAAACGGCTGTCTACAAAATAGGAAGTACATTTTGACCAGACAGACATTGAATTTAGAGTTTCAAAATCCAGAATTTTGAGAAACAAATCTTGTTTATGCTAACTATGATAATTAGTTTTGTCAAACTAATCTAATCCAAATAGTTATCAGGAATTGTTTGTATAGGTTGATAATTTGGAAACTAACACATATCTGGATATTTGGCTGTTCTTTAATTTGACTATTGTCTCTATCTGTAAGACATCTTTTCTTCTTTCTTCCTTCCTTTCTTTCTTTCTTCTTTCCTTTCTTTCTTTCTTTCCTTCTTTCTTTCTTTCTTTCTTTCTTCTCTATCTTTCTTTCTTTCTTTCTTTCTTTCTTTCTTTCTTTCTTTCTTTCTTTCTTTCTTTCTCTCTCTCTCTCTCCCTCCCTCCTTCTCTCTCTCTCATTCTCTCTCTCTTTCTTTCTTTTTTTCTTTCTTTTTTTTTGGTGGGGGGTGTCTTGGGAACTTGAATTCAGTCTGGGGTTGTTCCTTAGAATTTTTGTGTAAGGCTAGTATTCTAGTGATCTACCACATGAGCCATAGCTCCATTTCCACTACTGCTATTTTAAGGGGAGTAGTTAATTGGAGAAAAGAATCTCACAGACTTTCCTACCTGGGCTGGCTTTGAACCATGATCCTCAGATCTGTATCCTGAGTAGTTTGAATTACAAGTGTGAGCCACCATAGCCTGGTCCTTTATGACTTCTTAATTTCAATTTCAGTAAGATCATTTCCAAGCCACATCTGTAAGAAAAAGTCAGTGACTCAATGAGAGTACAAAACTCTCAATAGCAAATGTTGTGGTACAGAAGAGTGTCTAGCTGAGAAATGGTTGTGTGGTAATGATGATGAAAGTTTATCATCATAACCAAAAGACTGCACTCATGTATTCCAGAGTTTTCCTCAAGACTTGATTTCTCTATTCTCTATTTTCTATTCCTATTAAATGATCTTGAAAAAATAAATCTGTAAAGCAAAAATAGCATTAAATCTAAACTCAGTATTTCTTATTACCTCTGTCACCGAGGATAATTATAAATCAGACAAATAGAGATGATATTTTAGATGACTTCATCAAATTACACTTAGTACTACCTGTTTTTCTTTTCCTATGGTGCTAGGGGTTCAAACACAGACCCTTAAATGAGATAGGCAAATGCCCTACCTCAAGCTATTACCTCAGCTCTCTGTATTATTATGAATTCAGCCCCAATTGGATTTCTGATATAATATTATGAGTTATAAGTTGGTGTCTTATACTGACAATATTGTATTAATTTGCTTTGCAGAAATAGGAAAGCATTAACAGTAGATTACCATTGTATTTCTCCTTTGAGTGAAAAAGGACAAAAATAAAACACAATGAAGTTACCTGTCTTTGATGTTGGAGCCAAAATAGGAATCCAGAATTCCTTAGACTTCAATGTCACCAATTGTAGAAAAGGTCTTTGTTAGCTAAGTTGGGCAGTTTTACATATGCTGGCTTCCAAAATCATCTCCAAACTTTATAAATCCTAATATTTACATTTAAAAGATAAGGCACCCAAAGATGAAAATATTTAAGTACTTTCCTTTGATATAGGAACCTTATGCCTGTAGTCCTAGCTTCTCATGAGGTTGAGAAATGTAGGATCATAGTTTGAAGCATGAAAAACCTTCAAGACAGTATCACCAATTAACCAGCTCAAGGCCAGAATATAGACATGACTCTACTGGTAGAACACTCATACTTTGCCCAAGATCAAAATAAAGGATGAAGCCAAAAGCCAGAAACTTAATCCTGGTTTG